CGCAACGAGCAGCGCTGCCACAGACCGCATGTCGACATTGAGCGAACGACCGACTGCAGTGGAGGGCGTCTGGCTCCAAAACACCACCGTGATCCTCTCGCTGTGACAGACTGCCATTGTGTGCGCCCCATTGAGCTCCCCGTCCGCCGCTCCCCGTCACCGCCATGGCCGAAGTGCTGCAGCGACAGGGCTCTCCCTTCCACGGCCCAATTCGCTCGACCTCGAGCACCTCACTCGCCTACGACTCGTACACGGCCCTCCGCAAGAACCCATATTCACTCTCCGATCTGCGCTCGCCATCGCTGACCTCTACCCGCACCCCGTCCCTGCACTCGACACCCTCCAGCAGCCTCTCCCTCGACACCCGCTCCGACGAGTCCAGCAGCGAGGACGATGGCCTGTCCTTTCCAGACCACGGCTCTGCCCGCCAATACAAGACACAAGCTCCTGCTCCTACTCTTGACATGGACTCGCTGAAGCCCATGGACGCTCTGCTCCTTCGGCCGGCCACGTTGCTGTCACCGCCACCTCCCTCGCCTTCCGACGCCTTCTCCTCTGACACCCCCCTGAGCACGCCCGAGCCACACGGTATTTCAGAAGACGACACCGCCGTGCGCAAGGAGCCCTCACATCACGTCGACTACCTGTCGTACAACTGGCGTGAAGAGGATATCTGGTCCTCTTGGCGGCACATTGTCGAACACCGCAAAGTCTATGGGGAGCGCTCACGGCTCGAAAATGCTTCGTGGCGAACATGGGCCAAGTCGCAGTTTAAGCTCAGGACCGTCTCGCCTGAAACTCTGAATTGGTGAGTCTCTTTGAGTACGGCCACAGTGCCATCGGCACCCCTGTCCTGGGAGGGGAGGGGGTGCGCCGATCTCCCCCATCCGTGCACCCTCACCGCAGGTTTCAGTCTCGTAACCGGCTAACCACCAACCCACAGGCTAAAAGACGTCGACGTGACTTGGCTCTATGGGCCCATGCAGCCCGCCTCCAACCGGTTTTGCTCGCAACAGAGCTCTGAGCCAGCCAGCCAGCTGTCCAAGCGCGGGTCCTTTGTCAATGGCGTCAAGAAGCCAATTCTCAAGAAGCGCAGCATGTCGGAAGCCATGCTGCAGAAGTCGCTGTCAACGTCGTCATTGCTGCAGCAGGCCGCCGACTCGGTTCAGGCACAACAGGCGACAGGTGCGACATGGGAGCTGCGCAGACCTCGGCCCATCATCGGCCGGCCGACCCCGGACTTTTCCACCTCTTCCACCCTGTCTCGAGGATTGACCTGGGAAGGGACCGATTACTTCACCTCCAAGTCGACATCAGGACTCCAGACGCCTGATTTGGGCGAGAAGAAGCATATACGCTTCGATGACAAGGTAGAGCAGTGCATTGCAGTAGAATGCAAAGATGCAGATGACGACGAGGATGGTGACTACAACCACAACCCCTGGGCCAAGTATCAAGAAGAGGACTCGTCTTCGGACGAGGGTGTAGTCATGATGAAGCGGTCGCGCAAGAAGCGGCCCCTTTCACGCACGGTCTCGACCACGAGCATCAGCAACGACAACAAAACCATTGCCAGGCTTCCGTCGACCACGTTGAAGTCGAGAACAGATTCTCCCGATGTTACGGAACAGCAGTCTCATTCACTTGGTTTCTGGCAACCACGTGGTGGCCTATCGCCGTCGCCGTCATCAGAGACACTGAAGCCGTCGAATTCATCAAGGAATTTCTTGCTTGCTGAGGATGATGAAGAAGAAGAAGAAGAAGAAGAAGAAGAAGAAGAGGGCGAGGGCGACGACTACTTTGAGCCTGGTAGCGCGTATGGTGGGAGTTCAAAGCGGCCTCCGACTCCGACGAGCTCGGATCCGTACGGACTGCGACGAAAGAAAGCGTCTTCATCCGAATCTGGAGGACTGCGACGGACGGCATCGGGCATGTTTATGCCATTTGAAGACAACGAAGAAGACGCCTTGCCGCCGACCTTTATCGGTCGAGTAGTGGACACGGTGAACACGGCGCGGGACATTGGACATGTCATTTGGAATGCAGCATGGAGCAATTAGCGACGTGGACTATTAGCGTTTGGCGTTTACTATTTTTGGTTCGCTGCTGATCCCCGTTCCACAATAAGGGTTTGGGTCTTGGGCAGGCAGGAGGGAGTGTTTTTTTTTTTTTTTGCATCAAGGATGGGATTATCATATCTACTACGGCTGGGAAACAGGAAGCGGGCGGTGTACTGAAAAAAAGGGCTTCATCGAGAAAAGAGAGGCCTTTTGTTTGTTTTGCATTAGAGGATGGGCGCAGCTATGATTATGGTGGCGGGGGTTAGGCGGGTCTAGCAGATGGATAATCAGATGTATACGTTAATGAAATAATCACGCAAACGTGGCCACTGGATGTGCACCTGCCGACACCCAGACGCGCACCTGGCAGAGTACAGTGGCTTGGCACTTGGCAGTCGAGACAGTTGGACCGCTAGCAGTAGCTAGCAGACTGCGAACCTCGGCCAAGGAAAAGAGGAAGAGTGATTAGGTACTATGTACACTGTAGCGGCAGGCAGGTGGCAGGCCAGACATGTCACGTGTCCCCATGCCACCCGATCACTTGTCTTGTTCAGTTTGTGTGCATGTGGGTGTAGAGCAGAGCTTGGGTAGTCTACCGTAGTACCACATGTTGTAGTACCACAGTAAGTCACGACGAACACCCACAAACACCCGACCTCGGCGGTCTACGCTAGGGACAAATCACGTGTGAAGGCCTTGTCCAGAATTCTACCTACGACATGGCCTCCAAGGGTCCTACGGTATACGGCATAGAACAAGTAAGACTTACTGTCTTAGATAGCACTAGGTATGCTGTACAATCAACAGATGGTACTCTCCACGGGGAGGGGCGGGGGGAGGCGCCCTCTCGTTGAAGACAGACCAGGACAGACAGACAGAGACAGAGACAGACTTTTCCTTGCCGGCCAGCGGGGAGATGGATGATGCACGATAATTACGATCCTCTCGCCAAAAAAGAGATGAAGAACGCCAGGATAGATATCAGAACTGCCCTAGCCGGACAGCGTCCAGCATTGTTTGCTTGGGCCCAGTGCTTCTCGAACCTTCATAGCCGTCGCCCCGTCCAGAGGTTGGGCAGGGGCGCGGGCCAATGGGGCCAGGGAAAGAGCCATCGCCCGGGCCCGCTTGTCGTGAAGCTCCAACGTGTCAACTTCACACGACTGCTTTATTTATCTATTTATCTATCCGCTCTCTTCGGCGCCTCAACCTTTGTAGCCGATCCACTCTCTCTCTCAACCTCCCAACCTAATTCAAGTCCCTCTGCACTACCCCAGACAGTAGGCAGTCACAATGCGCTTTGCCATTGGAGCAACTGCTGCGCTCGCTGCCGCCGTCGTGCGTGCAGACGATGCCAGCCCCGTCGAGGCCGAGTCCTCTGCCTCGACTGCCGTAGCCAAGCCTACTTTTACTGTAAGCTCTTCTCTGCCTACCTAACCCCCCGTTCTGCTCGTCTGCTGGCCCATGACGATAACTAATGCCCGCCGCAGCCTAGCACCCTCAAGGCCCCCTTCCTTGAACAGTTCACAGATGACTGGGACAGCCGGTGGAAGCCCTCGCATGCGAAAAAGGACACCAAGACCGACGACGAGGAATGGACATATGTTGGTAACTGGGCCGTCGAGGAGCCTTCTGTGCTCAAGGGCATGGAGGGTGACAAGGGTCTTGTTCTCAAGGACAAGGCTGCCCACCACGCCATCTCGGCCAAATTCCCCAAGGTGATCAACAACAAGGACAAGACCTTGGTTGTGCAATACGAGGTCAAACTCCAGAGTAGGCTTCTCGCCCGATGACCATTACCAGCCAGTGTGTTAACAGCTTCTAGACGGCCTGGAGTGCGGTGGTGCGTACATGAAGCTGCTTCAGGACAACAAGGCGCTTCACGCCGAGGAGTTCTCCAACAGCTCCCCCTATGTCATCATGTTTGGTCCCGACAAGTGCGGTGCTACCAACAAGGTAGGTGGAGACTACTCCATCTTGCGAGAGACTCGAACACTGACATGGCCCCCACCCAGGTTCACTTCATTTTCCGCCACAAGAACCCCAAGACTGGCGAGTATGAGGAGAAGCACCTCAAGAACCCTCCGATGGCTCGTGTCGTCAAGACTACCTCGCTCTACACGCTCATCGTCAAGCCCGACCAGAGCTTCGAGATGAAGATTGATGGCGAGTCGGTCCGCAATGGTACCCTTCTCGAGGACTTCGACCCCTCAGTCAACCCCCCTGCGGAGATTGACGACCCCAAGGACACGAAGCCCGAAGACTGGGTCGACGAGGCCCGTATCCCTGACCCCGATGCGAAGAAGCCCGAGGACTGGGACGAGGATGCGCCATTCGAGATTGTCGACGAGGAGGCTACCAAGCCCGAGGACTGGCTTGACGATGAGCCCACCACTATTCCCGACCCGGAGGCCACCAAGCCCGAGGATTGGGATGACGAGGAGGATGGTGACTGGGTAGCTCCCACCGTTCCCAACCCCAAGTGTGACGAAGTCTCTGGCTGTGGCAAGTGGGAGCCTCCTATGAAGAAGAACCCCGCCTACAAGGGCAAGTGGACTCCTGAGCTCATTGACAACCCAGCCTACAAGGGTGTCTGGGCACCCCGCAAGATCAAGAACCCCAACTACTTCGAGGACAAGAAACCTGCCAACTTCGAGCCCATGGGCGCTGTAAGTCTTTGTACACACGCCACTACTGCGTAATCACCTGCTAACACGGAACAGATTGGATTCGAGATCTGGACCATGCAAAACGACATCCTCTTCGACAACATCTACATTGGTCACTCCCTTGAGGACGCTGAGAAGCTCAAGTCTGAGACTTTTGACCTCAAGATCGCGGCTGAGAAGGCCGAGGAGGAGGCCAACAAGCCCAAGCCCTCTGATGAGCCCAAGTCCCCCTCTGACCTCTCCTTCAAGGATGACCCAGTCACATTTGTCAAGGAGAAGGTCAACCTGTTCATCGAGATTGCCAAGCGTGATCCCATGGAGGCCGTCAAGTTTGTTCCTGAAGTCGCCGGCGGTATCGGTGCTCTTGTTGTTGCTATTCTCGCCATTTTGGCCTCTGTCCTCTTCGGTGGTGCCAGCGCTGCTCCCTCCAAGGAGCAGGTCAAGGCTCAAGCTAAGAAGGCAAAGGCTACTGCCGCTGATGCCAAGGACAAGGCTGCCGAGGCTGTCGCTACTGGGGCCGAGAAGGCTCAGGCTGAGGTCAACAAGCGCACTACTCGTTCAAGCTCGTAGATGCTTGCCAGAGCCGGGGCGAAGGACGGAAAAGACTGATATTCAGCTATGCGGAGGAGAGGGGCTAGCTGATCAAAACGGGGCTCGGTTGTTTTGATTTGACAGAGCCGACTTGTTCTATATTCTTGGATCACACTATGCGTCTGTTACATACAAAGTTTTCTTGGGGTCACGGCGCAGGGTCAGTGTACTATAAGTATTCATCTTTCGAAATTGCGGAGCGCGCAGCGGCCTTGGGATCGGGGTCTGGCCATAGATTATCAGCGTCGGGAAGAATTGCACCTTTGATCTCCATTTTGCAGCGTGGCGTGGTGAGGGTGTCCTTTGATCTCCATATGCAGTGTAGAGGGGGGGGGAGAGAAAGAGAGAGTATCTAAACTCTAGATGTATAATGTGTGAAAGCAAATGTTGTGTCCAATAAGAGCGATGATAAGCGGACAGTATAGTATACGCCCTAGACGCGTCCACAAGGCCGACCGCTGAGACCTCGGATAGCTTTGGTGGGGTTGATGTGGGATAGCTTCAGCCAGTTGTGAGCAAATGCGGAGAGCGGAATGGGTTTCCCGTAACAGCCTGCACTTGCCGGTTGATTATATACTACTCCGGTCCTTCATTCCATCGACGTCGAAAAGCTTATGAA